AAAAAAAAAAAAAAAAAAAAAAAAAAAAAAAAAAACTCACATCTCATCTTTCTCTGATATGCTTCCCATGCGCAGCAGGAACCTACTCTGCATCCATCATTTCTTTCTTTCTTTCGTTTTGTGTTTTTTGCGGGACCGTGCTCCAATCTATTCGTGGGGAGCAACACATACTGTGAACTGGGCCCAGTGTCCCTTATGACAATACAGAAGACAGTTTGAAGTACCGGGGCCATTACCCGGCTTCATCTGAGAATGATCGAGAAGATTCAGAAGAATTCAAGATCAACTTCTACCCTCACATCATCGAATTCCAGCAATCCGAGCGACACTAAGAGACCAAGGCGAAACCAACCATAGCTGTCATGTTCACTAAACTAGGCCTCTACCAGGCCTCACACTCCCGAAACGTTGAGTTCCAAGGAAGCGCAACCCACCCCAGCTCCGGCAAGTGTTGTCCTAGCAATGTTGTCCTAGCAACAGCCCCCACTTAGTCACTGGAATGCCTTCCACCCTCGACATTCCTCAGATCTCTCTACCAGGCCTCAGGCTCCTGCAAACGACATGTTACAAGGCAGCACCACAGCACCGTCGTAATTCCGGCATCGGCCAACCTAGGCCACCGAACCTCACAGCCTCGGTACAGCCTCAGATGAACTATAACCACTGCCGAGATCATGGTTTCCAGCATGTGCTAGTTGTACACAATTACTGAGATTCACAGAAAACCCGACAGCCTTTGAACCATCCATAAAGTTTTCCACAACTTTCCCCACCGGAGCTATCCACCCACCTCCCCGTCCCTCCACAGTCAAGGGGAACGGGAGAGGACACTTCCTCCACAGTCAAGGGGCATGACAGAAGACTAGCTACTATCTGCCTCCGCCCAAGGTGAACACCTCCATCAACCCCGGCCCCAGATAAGTGCAACACCCAATTTCTGCCCTTACTCCCCCCAGACGCAGCACTTCCCTCCAAGATGCTACTTCCACAGGATAGGGCTCCCTCCCTTCCAGCTGCTCGACGAATCAGCACAAGATGGAGAAGTTTCGATGCACAGCCACTGAGACCACCCCCTTTACCTCAGAGGAAAATGCACTCCTCATTTCGTCGGAGCCTACCCACCAAAGTTGACACACTCATTGCCCCCCCCCCCCTCCCTCTCCTCAACTCCCCAGCAGTCACCTTCCACCCAATAGGCCAGACCCGATTGTGAACTGTGCGTGCACTGGGGTCCGCATCACTGGACCCACAGCATACTGGTGGCTTCCGCAAGTACCAAAAAATTTATTAGATCTTTTGAACATGGCTGAACAGCTTGTTCCTCTGATGTGCAACTTCAAACAACTTTTCTTTTTATTATTATAACAAGTTAACTACATTTTTTGCCTCTTCCACATGTGCTTTACGTAAGGAAACACCTGATCAATTTTTGCCTCTTCCACATGTGCTTTACGTAAGGAAACACCTGATCAATATACCCCCCCACAATTCAGACCAGCAGATACATATGAATAACCCAAGCCCACTGCCCACGCAAATCGTCAAAGAACATCTCCCTACGCTGACCAAAGCGAAAACAAATCCATCGACAAAACAAAACATTTTTGTTCAGAGTTTCACTGTTCATACTCTTCCATTGCCTGTAAGATAAGTTACCTTGCATTTATAACCATAGCGCGAGAAGCCGGTTACAGAATCCACTTGGACATGCCAGACATCGCCGGTGCGGTGGAGGAGCCGGTCCAGATCTAGCTCAATCTGTCAGGAATGTCCAACAGTCCCAATTAAAGCCATTTCTTCCACTTCTTTCTTACAACTTTTGCCTTTGAAAAAGAGGACCACTTGCCAGTTTGCATGTCATCCCTCAATATGTAGGGGCCATGCTAATCTTCCATTTTCTGCATCATTCGACATGAAAAGTTGTGATGCACCCAACAGACAGCTTGAAACCATCTCTCTTTTCAGCCCTTTAATTTTATGATTTGTGAATTCTTTTGCACAATTTTTGACAGCCCCACTGAAGCTTTAGATCCGATCTGACACCATCGAGCAATCGATACAAAAACACGGAATTTCCGTACACCCTGTTTAATTACTAGACGTGCAAAAAAACGAAGGTCCACACAGCTCTCCAGAGACCCAAAGCCTGCACCTCACAATCCACAGAAGATTGGACAAAACAAAATGAGCACATCAAAAACCCACGGAAAAAGCAACCAGTTACAATCAGGACACTACAGGGGCTCATCTCTTAAACCACTGGTACACGGCCCCAGCCTTGCAGTCCGAAACTTGTCGCCACAAGAAAACGAGGCCAAAACATCAAACGCTGGGCCCGCTGTTGATAAATTAGATCGGCAGTTGCATTCTCCTCTCGCGCTTCCAGAATTTGAGGTGTCAGGCCCACGCCCCAGGTGCCCGTGTACTGGTGCTTTAAGGAATCTGATCCACACAGCTCAGACGTCTGTAGAGTATGTTCCAAAACGAACACCACATCAGAGGACATCACGCACTAAGTCTTCTACTGTGATGAGGCCTCATGGCACCAACACGTGGCAGCTTTCTGGTACTCTCACCCCTCCTCCCCCCAAACCAAGGTTTGTCAACAGGTGAAGGAATGTCCACCACCTACATGTCAGGCCAATGGAACTATTTGAGTAGCGATCTCCGTGAACAGAGTTAGTGCAAAGCAACTGTGCCGAAAGGCATAGAAGGTGTCACAACAGTATTGGATGCAAATGAGGCAGTGGTCCCCAAAAATGATCCCTGAGGGTGAATATGACACGATGAGATCTACTGTTTTCAGCACGCTGAGCCCCAACAGCCAATACCCCACCCAATGAGCCCTGCTAATGACGCTAGAACACAGAATAGACGGCTGCTTTGACAAGAAACGCTCCCAAGTTGGCCACGGGAGGAGCGGTCAAGCGACCAATTGACATCCACAAGGGGTAATTAATTATGAGGTTAAATAGACAACGGCTTCATTTTCACCCCACTTCACCCACCCCTTTCATGGCAGGACCCAGGTTCAATTTCTAGTGGGCTGATTTTGAAGTCTTCTAGTGGGTTGATCTTGAAGTCTTGGGCTGGGATGTTGTTAGCAGGCACTGTCACACCTTTGCTATCATGTTTGGTAGAAATCTGACCAGTGCCATCAGCCACTCTCTCATGTGAGCGGCTGTATTGAATCTCCGTATCCATGCTGAGGTGGGGTGAAGTGTCCCCCACCTCACTATACTAGGTCCCAGAAGCGTCCCGCAATCGTTATCGTTTTTTCATGATGGGTTCAAGGATTAAGTGTCCCAAAAGAGGCCTTCGCTACCCCCATGCAAGTCTTTGAAGTTGCAGTCGCAAGTTCAATTCATAGCGAGTTGGAGCATGGAATTGATTGTGTTGCCCAGAAGGAGGCTCATATCAGTACAATCATGCCTGAGCTTACCTGCGGCTCTGATGAAACGTCATCGTAAAGGCAAAGGGTCACATGTTCGGCATGTCGGCTGTAAATGGAAAAGTTTGCAGAACCATCTTTCCTCCAAGATACACCTAGCGGATAAGGTTTTCCTGGCCGAATCCCGACTGGCACAGTGAAATCAGTTCCCTTAGTGCTCCTGCAAGCAAAACATTTGCATACCAGTGTCAACCAAAAAGGCTGCAGCAATGAGTGCCTTTACTTTTCTTCTCTTCTCTTTTATTTTCTCAACAGCGTTTAGAGATGGGTTCACAAAACTGTTGCAATCTCAACAGCGTTTAGAGATGGGTTCACAAAACTGTTGCAATCTCAACAGCGTTTAGAGATGGGTTCACAAAACTGTTGCAACGTCGCCCAAATTTTGGACCATTGGTCCAAAGACTACTTAAAAGTTCCACATCACATAACTATGATTGAAAAACAAATGACATGGACCTTGCCTCTGTAGGGCCAACACAAATCACCTCTGTATCATTTCTTCTTTTTTTTGAAAAAAAAGGTCCAGGGTGTAGTAGAGGGCAGACGCCAGCCCTCAGGAGGTGCCCGTAGAACTCATCCATTGGGAGGGGTCAGATGGATTGCGAGGACCCAGAGAGTCACCTCAAGGTGGCACCATGATGCCATGACCTATGCTAATGTGCAGATCGCAAGTCGTGATCTGCGCCAATGCTTACCGGACTGACCCGAACGTCTTCGTGCAGCTACTACCCTAACTCTAATGCTAGGACAACCCGGGCACAGGTGGGGTCCACGTATATATGGTCGTCACCTCAAGGTGGCACCATGATGCCATGACCTATGCTAATGCGCAGATCGCAAGTCGTGATCTGCACCAATGCTTACCGGACAGACCCGAACGTCTTCGTGCAGCTACTACCCTAACTCTAATGCTAAGGACAACCCGGGCACAGGTGGGGTCCACGTATATATGGTCGTCCCTTATCTGTGCCTCATCCCGCAGACTCTATGGGCAGCAAACCACCCTCCTACTAAGATGCGATATCCCGCCCTCCCCCTATCCTAAGCATGATGCCTTTCCTACCCAAGGCTCCCCAAGGATTCACAATCCCAACTAATTCCCCCAATGAGAATTCCCACGGTCAGCAACCTGGATGATGCACCACCCGCAGGCATCCTGAGATACCCGTGGGATGAAGACATGTCCAGGCCCTACAGCGTACTAACACCCAGTGTGTGCGTAGGATTATCCCCCCCAAGATAGGCCCTGCCGTAGTCTAAGTTCGCTCTGTGTGGACTCTCACACGGGTGCCATAGTGACGGGAAACGGACAAGCCGTACCCAGGCTCCACCATGGTATTCCCACGGACTAGTAAGGGCTGACGAAGCTGACAGATCGGAGGGTCCAAGTGGCCATGCAGAGGTATCATCAGGTTTCCGACAGTTTGGGCCAAGGGCCCTATCAACAACTTAATGGTCTGGGCAGTAAACTCTCCCCTTAATCTACCTTTTACACCCCCCCCCCCGGCCCATGGTGCCGACAAGATAAGACCCCGATCATCAGACCCCCCCTAAGACCAAGCATACAAGCAGCCCTCCCATGGCCTTATCCAACATACTCCTTGGGCGGTGTGCAGGCATTACCATGCGTCGCCCAAGGGGCGGGGGAGGGGGTAACTGGCTTGTGCACTTCAGAAAAAGGGGGGGGGGGGGGGGGGGGGTCCCAGAAGTTTTAAAGCACGATTCCCAAAGGACGACTGCTTCTTGACTAAAACTCTTCCTTTTTCCCTCTTGGAAATGATTAACCTCTTGAGTCTTGACACATTGCCTGTTCTGACAATGGTTTACAGTGCACAACTGCTGGAGAACCAACCTCACTCTTATCTTGTCATTTAACTACCAGTCGAGCTTTACCAACCACAATGTAATCACATCGGTGACTGACAATAGCCGCTCACTGATTCATTACGGCACAAGCTCCAGAACAACATGCTAAGTTGAATTCCAGGCCAAAACATGGCTTTAATTCGGGGTCCAAATTGGGGTCCACTTCATGGTCCAAACTCAGGTCCCAAAATTGGGTCCAGTTGGAGTCCGTCATTTCAGGTGCAGTGCGGAGTCCTGAAGTTCGGGTGCAGTTCGGGGTACGTGTTTTGGGTTAACATTTTGAGTCTTGACACATTGCCTGTTCTGACAATGATTTACAGTGCACAACAGCTGGAGAACCAACCTCACTCTTATCTTGTCATTTAACTACCAGTCGAGCTTTACCAACCACAACGTAATCACATCGGTGACTGACAATAGCCGCTCACTGATTCATTACGGCACAAGCTCCAGAACAACATACTAAGTTGAATTCCAGGCCAAAACATGGGTTTAATTCAGAGTTCAAATTGGGGTCCACTTCATGGTCCAAACTCAGGTCCCAAAATTGGGTCCAGTTGGAGTCCGTCATTTCAGGTGCAGTGTGGAGTCCCGAAGTTCGGGTGCAGTTCGGGGTACGTGTTTTGGGTTCAATCCACGGTCCTGATTTTTCACTCATGGACTAGTTCAGGGGACCTTTAAGATTCAAATTTGGTTGTGGGGTCCAAATTTCGGCCCAGTTTGGAGTACAGATTTGGGTCCATTTTGGGGTGCAAATTTGGATCCAGTTCGGGGGCCAGCTTAAGGTCCAAAGATGGGTCCAGCCACTAAACTCTAGCCAAAAATGTAGGTCTAACCCAGGGCTCAATACAAAATTTGAGTCCAGTTTTGGAACCAGCTTATGGTCCAAAGATGGGTCCAGCCACACCACTTTCCCCAAAAATGTGGGTCTAATCCACAGCTTACAATTGTCGGGTATGTCTGGGCTCATGGGTTGGCCACACTTAAAACTGCCAGTTCACACAGGCTAAATGAAAATGAATTTTTACTTGCAAAAACCAAGAATCCAAGAATCAACCCAATGTGGAGGTATTCTAGGTAATGTAAGGAAACAGAGAGGACCTCTCACCTGAACCAGGTACCCTTATAGGGCTGGAAGAGAGCAAATTTGACAGAGAAAGGGGCAGCTCTTGCATCAAGATCCATGAGCAGCTGAAGTCTACCCGACGGGTCTTTTGTAAATGGTGTTCTCATTGCTTCTGCCTCTTCCCATCCGCTCTCTGTGCCACCATCTCTTTTTTTTCATCATTAATTGTGATGTACAAGAAGAAGGGAACAAAGACACCATACAATGCAGAAAACACTCAGTCAGCAACCAGTATAAGAGTACAGTCGGCTTGAAGTACAGAGCACAGTCAGCATGCAGTACAAGAGTACAGTCAGCAAGGAGTGCTGTGTATTTTCCCCGAGTACATAGGAAGAGGAGGAGAGAAGAAAAAGAGGGAGGCCAAGAGGAGTGTTTTGATTTCCTGTCAGATATACGGATAGATGTGACAGAGGTGGAGGATCAGGAGTGGAGCAAGGAAGAGATCGGTACTGTTCTGTTTTCCTCTTTTAGAACTCTTTTTGCTTTTTCAAATATGTTTCTTCCTTTTCTGTTTTGGGAACTTCTCCCTGGGCCTGTTTAGACAGCACAGTGTATTCTTTTTTTCTGGGCAAGCGGGGGACGAGGAGCAATCAGCAACACAAGCAAGACCGTTATTTTCATGATGCAGACACGAGTACAAGGGCACTCGCATGTGCGCACGAGAGAGAGAGAGAGAGAGAGAGAGAGAGAGAGAGAGAGAGAGCTGTCTCTTATACACATCTAGATGTGTATAAGAGACAGATGCTCTTCCCCATCACAACCTCACGCTTTGTTACATACGACT